TTTCCCACTGAAGAAAAAAAGTTTGGTTGTAACTATAGTATGGATCTTGGATTTAATTTGACATTTATAGGGTAGGAGAAAAATTATATTTCCTGTTTTCATATATAGGAAATTTCTGATCAACATTCTTAAACTTGGTGCTAATTAAGCTTTAAGACCTTCTTACCATTCTGTTTTACCCTTCTTAATCAGAAGCGTTAAAACCTCTGGTAGCTTTCACTTGGAGTCCCTGGTTTTAACTTGAAATGGCTTCAAGTCAAAATTTTGTTAGCTTTTTGTATGTTTTGATTTTGTGTGTGTTCTGTTTTTAACTTTCAACTTGATTTTTAAGATCATCAATCAAAGGCTTTTCTTTCAAGTCAGTTGCACTGATCTCAATTGCAGGACTTAGAGGGTCAGCATAGCCCTTGTGCTATTAAAAAAAATGTTTAAGCATAGAAACAGGGTATTTTAGGAATTTGAGCTCCACGGATGTTTTCATCACACGTCTACATTTTGAAATGAACAAATCAATTAGATGGAGGAAACACAGGAAATGTTCTGCCGGCTCCCCACCTCACCCTTCTTCACTCTCTTTTTGGACAGAGGTAAATTATCGGCTGCTCTACTACTAGCTTTCTGCAAGCTGCAAAGAGGCTGATTGTAGCTCTACATATTTTCAAACACATTCATTTACTCAAGCTATCTCTTTATTTAAATGTTTTCCTGTACACATTTTCTTTTTCCTTTAGAACTATTGAGAACAAGCCTCATCTCCCCACATTCTGTCACCCCAGTGGACATTATCATCAGCCTGCACTTTTGTCTTTCAGATGGCTCGTATTTGTGGGGTGCGGCCCTCTGTGCCTGTCCGTTGTTGTCATCTGCCAAACACAACTAATTTTTGTTTATGGATTTCAACGAAGCAATGAAAACAAAGTATTTGACATCTGATCTGATGGCTGTTGCAGGGTCTCTTACATCCTCTCCACCCCACACCCCAAATTCAGGGTGAACTGGGGTAGCCTTCTCATTACCGATAATCCCAGTCAACTTTATTTCAAGTTTAAGTCTTCAAAGTTTGGCTTCCATGTAGGATTCTATGATGAATAACATTATCAGATTTTAAAGCTTTACTGGGTTTTGAAGAGAACGGCTCCATTTCAGCATAACACAAAGTACTTTCTCCAGATTGGAGTACATTCCCTTGATGGGCCTTCTGACTGGATGAGAATTCAAATTGGGTGAAATGAATCCAGAAAAGAGGAAGATGAATCTTGAGTTCATTTCTGATTTCCCCTTGCGAGGGAGTCCAGTGTTAGGTGTCTTGATTGCATATTTTGATTCCATCTGAGGCCTAGCATCTCCTTGTAGGCAGAGCCCTGTGGATGTTGCTACTTTCCACTACCCTGTGCAAGCTGCTGCTTAATATATGCATAACGAAGGGTCTGTGCAACTGCCTGTCATCCACACCTCCCCCTGCCCCCTCTGCTCTTACGTCTTCCCACATGAGGCATCGTATATTTTGTTAGGAAGAAAAGCCCTTTTGGAAATTGCCTATTTCATAAATTGTCTGGTGACACAAAGGGGTTGAACGCTGTATTCCTGTCTCATTTATTTTGAAAACTTTGCTACTGAACTCACCTAATCAATGAGCTCGGTGTTGTCTCCAATAAGTTATGTGTTGGATATATTGATTGGGAGGGATTTTAGAAAACCCGTCTGGGGTTTATAATGTCAGCAGTGTTTTGATTATGAAAAGAGTTGGAACCTGGGGACATGGAACCAGGTGGCGAATGTCCTAAAGCCGGTGGTGACATGGTGGACTGGTTCCCTCCTGGGATGCGGTTCATGGCCTGCACTTTAACTGTGGTGACTGGCTACTATAGATTCACTTTTTTTGCTCATTAAAATGTTAAAAAAATCAAACTGTACATAAAAAGATTTGTGAAAATATAAACTTGGGAATTGATCCGGAGAGCTGGCACAACCTTCCCCACCCCTCCTCCTCAGCAATGAGGTCATTTACATTTCATCAGCTGTCCTGCATCTCTAGGATCCGATTTACGTGGCCTGAGTGGAGGTTGTGCTGAGGCTGGGTGTCTGAAAGAGTGTGTGTAGGCAAGGGTTGGGGCGGGGGGGGATTTGGGGGGGCAGGCAGAGAAAACAGGGAACTGACCATCTGCAAAGAAAGGTCCCTAGCCAAAGACACAGGTTCCAGAGAGAAATAGGGGTTGGTAACTAGCTAATGACTGTTTTCCCAGTAAAGCTGATGCTGAAAGACACTCTGCTATAAACATAATGCTCCAAATATGTTTAAATTAGGAGTTTAATATCCTCTCTCCTGGAGAGTGGTACTTTTCATATTCAAGTAATTGTGTTTTTCTTTGGAAAAAGAGTATAAGGTAGTTAGCTATTTATATGTTGAGAAAACATCAGTATGAAGAAAATGTGTTTATTTCAGCAGTTTTTATTTACAAGAAGCATTGCTTGTTTTTCTTCCCTCTTCCTGTCCTCCACTTCCTAAACTAAGAGGTAGATCTTTTCGGTTTTGATAGATAACGAGTGAATATGCCTAACAGAGTAGATGCTCATTTTTGTTTTCTTCTCTGACAGCACACCACTGTCTTGTTTGACTTAAATTGGAATATCAAGCTCTTCTAATATCACAAACATGAAGAAACATATTGTCATGCACAAACATGTGCCTACATTTGCCTATATTCTCTTCCTTCCTCCCCTCCCCCTGCCCCATGCTTAATTAGACTTATCACTGCTTTCTTGAGTAAAAAGGAAAGCTCTTGGGAGGTGGCTTATACTCAGCCTACATTGGGTATTTTGATATTTGTTCTAATATTATCTGACAGACAAGTTCACGGTTGGTTATTACTCTTGACATTAGAAAGGGGTAAGTAGTTTCTATATTGTAGTGAGTAATAAGTTGGGCATATTAGCTTCCTTTGACTCTGCTGTAGAGCACAATGCTCTCTCGTAGCCATGGGGGTCCTTTCTTTCAAAAATCTTGAGGCCTTTTGGCAGCTCAGCTCCAGCATAGAGTAGAGAGGCACTTCTCTACCTGTAACTTTTGAGGGGTGAAGGATAGCTGTCTTTGTAGCTGTCTTGGCATTGAGTGAGCCTTGGTACAGGGTTGTAAAGAATGCTCACATGTATACTGAAGTCAAGAGATGCTTTGTGGCATTTGAAACTTGAAGTGAAAGGAGATATGTAAGGAGTTTGTTTTTTTTTTGCATGTAAACTGTAAGAGTTTGTGTATGTGGGTTATATTATATTTTATAATTGGAGCTGCAGATACTAGAATGGATATTTTTTATGATCTCTTTCCCAATATTTGCTTGATAATAACATTATGCACTGAGAAATTGCTCTTGTTTTTGCTGATTCCCTGTTAGGCACTGCAGTTTATTTAAATATGATGAGTTTTAAAACAATATATAAGGACTTTTGAATGCCACATTATGAAATTAAGTACGATATCAATACTGCTTCTTCGAATATGCTTAGGTGTGCTTATCCACTCTTCTCCATCTTTTTGTTTCCTATTCCTTGACATGTCTTAATAGTGTTGTGATGTATATAGTACCAGTCCGATGATATTAAAAAATAGGATATGCTCAATTGAATCATGTAGGCGGAACATGCCCTGGCAGACAAGCCAGTGTGCTTTCTGCCTCATTGAGTGGGTTATTAGATTGATGTGGTTTATTTTTTGAATGATAGAACTGGTTTGAAAAATAAATGAAGCGAGAAGCATCAATTCAGTTAGCATTGATAAGTTGTTATTATTGGTCAGAAAAGTGCTACATTTGTAAACTGATCTTTAATTTATCACTTGGATTAGGATTTGCAGTGGGCAGGTTTGTTTTAATTTGAAACAGCTTCTCCATGACTGAAAAATGTGTTCTTCATTTTGTCTTGAAATTGGGATTTTAAATAGTTAAAGAGCAAATCAAATGCATGAAAGAAATACTTTTTCTAGAAAATTATAACGTTGGTCTATGAACTTAAGGACTGACTGTGGGCTGGCTAAGGCTGCAGTTAAAGTCAAGCTTGAGAAAACTCTATAAAGGAAGTAATAATTAATTACTTGTATATGTGCTTAGCTATGTACATGAAATGTGTCCACTGGGAAAAGTCACACCCCGCTGTGTATTGTGTCTCATACAGAAGTGTTCTTTTCTTAATGTAAGAAGCTTCTCTTTTATGAATAAATCCCTGGAATGTCACTCTGTTTTTTTGTTCCCTTGTATATTTCCCCTGAATAATGTGCTTAGTTTTATGTACCTACATATTTGGAAAAAGATATGTAAACTGATAGTTTCCTTTGGATTTTTACAAATTACAAGCAGGTAAGTGTGTCCAATTATGATGACATGTAAGTAAAAATAGTAGGTACTTAAAATTGTTCCAGTTTGATTACAAAATAAATTTATGTCAGAAACTGCTTTGTAAAGTAAGCAAATGAAGTTTTACACCCTAAAAAATGGAGCTGCTGACAATCAGGGATAATTATCTTCAAGTTGGCTTTCTATGCTGTTTGTGATTTGGCCTATTGATGTTGGGAAGTGTTGTCTAATCCCGGCCCCCTCTGTTCCTAGGTAACAGGCAAAAACGGTGCCAGCAACAGCGGCCCTGGCAGGCCAAACCCATGTGGCTCGGTGTTATTCACTCTGATCCATATGGTCAGGCTGGAGATGGTCCCTGGAGGGGTGTTAACACTCAGCAACCCAACCGCCTCCCTCCCTTCAGAGCTTTCCTGCATGGCTCCTGCTGCTTGCCCATGTGTGATTCTTGATTAATTTTTCATTTTTAATGAAGTTTGATCATGTTTATTATTTCTCATGATTGACTGCCTGGTACTCCTCCCATGTAATTGATAAAGCCCATATTTCTTCATCTGTCTCCTCTTTCTTTAGGGTAAAGTTGCTAGATTGTGTGCCATGGTTAATGTTAGATTTATTGGTCCCATTAGATGTATAAATTATCTCTCTTTCTCTCCACAGGAAGTTCTACAGACTTTGACCAAGTTTTGTTTCCCCTTCTATGTGGACAGGTAGTGTCAGATTTTCAAACTTTACTAGAAAAAAAAGCGTCAATAAACCTGCTGTGGAAAATAAAAACCATACCATTCTTAACATCCTGTCTGCTTAACCATGATTTAAACCGCCTATGTTCCAAGGAGAGTTGCAGTAGTCTCCTTTCCTGGGGATTTTATTGACACTATCAAAAAGTTTAAAGCTGAGAGCTTTACATTGGTTAGTTTGTGAGATACATTTTGCATGACATTAAATTCTTGATTTTGGTGATCAGACTCAAACCATGATTAAGAATGGTTGGCTTTTAATCCGGTGCTATTTAATTTGTATTTAAACATGAATATCTTTGACTTTACCAAGTAATATTATGTGACTCCGTGGCCTTGTGAGTATTATATAGACTATTTTTCCTAGACTCCAACTTAAAATTTAAATCTTGTTTAAAGGTGTTCCGCTGTTAAAAAGGCATGTTGCTAAACAGTGTCTTGCATTTTGTTGAGGTGGCTAAGAATGGTATCTCTAAGGAAATAAGCATTTCCTATAGACTTCTAGACTAAAATACAAAATCATGTAAACATTGCCTTAGTATTTGCATTATGATGAACTGTTTCTTGGAGAGGTTTCTTAGAGCTCCAAGATAATGAAAATAGTCTAAGGATCTTTTTTAAAAGATGTGCCACTGGTGAATGGCTTATTTTATAAATAAGCTTATTTTTAAATGGCTTTTTAAAACAATTTTAGAGGAGCTCCCCTCCACACACTTTATAAAACTATAATTTACTACCAACATTAATAAAACCATAAAACAATCATCTTCATCTTATTTTCAAGAAATGTCTATTGTGTTTTTCATTACAGTTTAAGTATTATTTTTGCAATTATTTATTTTTCCATTTGATTGCTTTCTCTTTGTGATTTTTCTCTTAATGGAAAATTGAACTATGAGAAGCGTACAAAAGTTACATCTTAAAAATCCCACTCTTAGCGATACAGAGGTTTTAGAAAACATTATCGTTAAGTAATAAGTGCCATAATATGTTCCAAGAACGCTCTAAAATGTGCCTGTCTTCAGGAAGGTTCTATCATGTATTTTAGTATGAAGATTTTGGTGATTTCAAGTGCATGTGGGTAGTAGAAGCATCCTGATTTATTCGGCATAAACCTAAAAATGGTGTGAGATAGGAATTGGTAGCCAAAGGAATTTAAAAGAGTACCAAGAAGCAAAAGGAGTACTAAAAAGCAGCTCTGGAATGGTGCCAACCACTTAAAAACACTGTTTTGCCTGGTTCTAACATGTTATTTTTTTAAGCCAATCAACCATTGTAGTATTTCCAGACTCAGGCCTTTTTAAACCCTGGTACCAGCGCTGTGTTAGGAGCAGGTTGATGCTCAGAGCAGAATAGCCTTAATTTTAAGAGGGTCAGTCTTTGTAATGAGAGTCCTCTTGTCTCTTCTTTATCCTATTCCTTCTAAAAATAGCAAGCAAGGTTTTGTTTAGAGACGTTTAATGCAAACTTCACATTGATATGTATGAATTAGCGATGCGTGAAATCTCCTCCAGTCACTTATAAAATGTATTACAAATTATGGCAAGGGCATATTTATACAAATTAATAAAGCTGAAATGTTTTTAAAATGTGGTTAGGTGTTTAACAAAGAAAAATACGAGAATACATTTATACAAGATTTCTTGTTAAGAATGGTGATCTGTTTTGGATAGGTGTTCCTTAATTGACTTTGTAAAGTAACATTAGAAAAAATCTGCAGTGAGATTAAATCTCCCTCAGTGTGTGCTGTTCAC